GTTTTTCGAGACAGGGTTTCTCTGTGTAGCTTTGCGCCTTTCCTGGAACTCACTTGGTAGCCCAGGCTGGCCTCGAACTCACAGAGATCTGCCTGCTTCTGCCTCCCGAGTGCTGGGATTAAAGGCGTGCGCCACCACCGCCCGGCTTATATGTTTTCTTTTAAAAAATGATTTATTGGGCTGGAGAGGTGGCTCAGAGGTTAAGAGCACTGATTGCTCTTCCAGAGGTCCTGAGTTCAATTCCCAGCAACCGCATGGTGGCTCACAACCACCTGTAATGAGATCTGGTGCCCTCTTCTGGCCTGCAGACATGCAGGCAGAACACTTTATACATAATAAATAAATAAATCTAAAAAAAAAAAAAAAGATTTATTTTAACGGGCGGTTGGTGGTGCACGTTTTTAATCCCAGCACTTGGGAGGCAGAGGCAGGCAGATCTTTGTGAGTTCGAGGCCAGCATGGCCTACAGAGTGAGTTCCAGAAAAGACTCCAAAGCTACACAGAGAAACCCTGTCTTGAAAAACAAACAAAAATATTTTTTTATTATTTTAAGTTTGTGTGTGTGTATGGGGTGTGCACATGAGTGGGGGTGCCCACGGAGTCCAGAACAAGGTTTTGGATCCCTAGCAGGAGAGATAGAACCGTGTAAGCTGCCTTACATGGTGCTGGGAACCTGACTCAGTCCTCTGCAACTGCAGTGCCTCCTCGTAACCCGTGGGTGGCGCTCTACTCCATCCATGATACTCTTCCAATCTTTTTTTATTATTTATTTAAGGTTTTTTATTTTTTATTTTTTGTGGAGGATATAAATGTCTTTATCTAACATAAATGCCCTCAAATCTGTAATCCTTCTGCCTTAGAATCCCAAATCCTGGGATTATGAGCATGCACCATCATGCCTACGTTATTTATTCTGATCCAAAGAAGCTTATTTGAGGCAGGAAAGAATCTTACTGTCTTCTGTGATAATTACTTGCCATAAATCTGTGAGTATGCCAAGTTTATGTCATACTATCTCAGTTGTGGAACTTTGTGGTTTTTTTTTTAAATCATTTTTATTGCTTGTTTTGTGGAGCTGAGGATGGAACCTATGTCCTTCACATGCTGGACGAGTGCTGTACCACCGAGTCACATTCTTACCTTGCTATTTTTTTTTGGAGACAGTCTCATCGTGCAGCCCTGGCTGCCCTGTAGCCCTGCGACTCACTATGCAGACCAGGTTGAACTCCTAGAGATCTGCCTGCTTTTGCTTCCCACGGATTGGGATTAAAGGTGTGCAGCACTATGTTTTAATCATTTAAAAATTAATACGGTACACACACATAGAGCAATGTGCGTTTGTGAGTGTAGGTGCATGCTGGCATTGGTTTACATGTGGTCAGAGAACAACTTTTGGAAACTGGTTCTCTCCTCCCAGCATGGTATCTAGGGACTGAACTGCGATCACCAGGCTTGTAATGTGTCTTAGTCAGTGTTCTGTGGCTGTGAAGAGACACCATGGCCATGGCAACTGTTATAAAGGAACACATTTAGTTGGGGCTGGCTTACAGTTCAGAGGTTCAGTCCATTATCATCCTGGTGGGCAGCATTCAGGCAGATGTGATGCTGGAGAAGGAGCTGAGAGTTCTACATCTTGATCTGTAGGCAACAGGAAGTGAACTGTCTCACACTGGGCGTAACATGAACATGTATATAAGACCTCAAAGCCCACCCACCCACAGTGACACACCTCCAACAAGGCCACATCTACTCCAAGGTTACACTTCCTAGTAGTGGCCACTCTATAGGCCAGGCATCCAAGCCGATGAATCCATGGGGGCCATACCTATTCAGTCACTACATACAATAAACACTTTTTGTCCACTGAACCATCTTGTAGGCCCTGTTTTATGTTTTGATCCTTACTTGTCATTTCTTCTGGCTGTATTTGTATGATAGACTTTGTGTTAGAAAGCAAGACCTATGATAGCATGATCTAGAGTTGTAAATGGCTTTCTGGGGCTGTGCTAGTATGGATGACATTTTGGCTTTTTTAAAGACAGGATCTCAGACAGGGTTTCTCTGTGTAGTTTTGGTGCCTGTTCTGGATCATGCTCTGTAGCCCAGGCTGGCCATGAACTCTCGGAGATTCACCTGGCTCTGCCTCCTGAGTGCTGGGACTAAAGGCATGCACCACCACTGCCCAGCTCTTGAATGTCTTTAAAACGTTTCACTTATGTGTGTTTGTACATGTGTGCAGGTGTCCAGAGGCTAGAAGAGGGTGTTGGAGCCCCTGAAACTGGAGTGCAGGCAGTGTGAGCCAGCTGACTACAGTGCTGGGAACTGAACTCCAGGCCTCTGTAGGAGGGCAAGCACACTCCTAATTGGTGAGCCATCTCTCCAGCCTAAGCTTGGTGTTCTAATCCTCCCCTCTGCCTTCCACCTCCTGAGTGCTGGCATTACGGGGACTGCATCTGTTTATGCGGTGCTGGGGATTGAACCCAGGGCTTCATGTATGCCAGGCAAGCCCTCTACCAACTGAGCTTCAGCCTCAGCCCACAGCTTGTTTTCTACAACTCAGGTGTTATGGTTCCTCATCAGACCATTGTTTGTCCACTTGCACCAGATGCCTCAGGGGGAGTGTAAAGGAACATCTGTCAGGTTCTTAGTCCTCATCTGTGCACCTTGAAAACTGTGCTGGAACTCTAGGAATACTTGCTTCGACCTCATTTTCCTGACGCTTTGCCTGCCAATTCAGAGTACACTCATGACTGGAGATGGAGATGAGTGGTATCTGCCTAGCATATGGGAGGCACAGGGTTCTAGTCTCATCGTTAGAGAAGTAAAAAGGTACCAACTCTTCAAACTGATGCTTAAAATTCCAGTCACTATGTTTTACCTTGAAGTAACATTTTCTTTTGGGGGACAGGTTCTCATGTAGCACAGATTGGCCTCAAACTCCCTGTGTAGCAAGGGGGGTGACCTTGAACTTTTGTTTTGAAAGTTTTGAGGCAGGATAGGAAGACAGGAAGGGCCAAGCATGGTGGCACACACCTTTAACCCTAACACTCAGGAGGCAGAGGCAGGCAGATCTTTGAGTTCCAGGCCAGCCTGGTCTACAGAGGGAGTTCCAGGACAGGCAGGGAACCAACATAGAAAAACCCTGTCCTGAAAAGCCACCTCCCTGCACCCCCCAAAAGGACAGAATAATTAAAGAGACAGGAGAAAGAACCCTAACTCCCTTGGAACTGGTTTAAATCTTTCACTGGCTCTAAGCCAAACATGTGACCTTTTGAGTTTAATCTTGCCGGCACGTACTTTATGTGTGAGCTTGTATATTTCTGAGAAAAACTCACAAATGGAATTATATACCATGTTTACAGTAAAACAAACAAAAACAACAAAAATTCTTGTTGGGCTGATGAGATGGATTAGTGGATAAAGGTGCTTATCAGGCAAGCCTGGTAACTTGATTTCAGTTCCTGGAACCCATGTAAAGGTAGGAGAGAACCAAGTCCAGAGTTGTCCAGTGACCTCTGCACACCTTTCAGGAGCATCCTGGCTTCAGGCCACTGATAACATCTCTTCTCTTCCATTTTAATTGGGGTCAGAGTGCTTATTCCAGAAAGATTCCCACAGCATTTCTGGAGTCCTCCAGCACCCAGTTGGTTGAGAGGGGCTGCCACTTCTGGACCTCTCAGGCCACCTGAGGTCTTCTGAACTGAGAAGTGTGTGTTCCTGGTGGTATCCTGAGGTTCCTTTCCAGTGGCCAAGGGGACTGTGAGACTCAGGACCAGAGTCTCCGGGTTGAAGAAGACAAGACTAGTGTGGACCTTTAGACCAGGTAAGGACCCTGGGACGATAGGC